TGACATGAACATGCACAAGAAACTGCAGTTAGGAGAAAGAGAGTACAGCAGCACTGCTTCCCGCTGAACTGCCGCAAACACTTCCCACTTTTTGGCCCGAGCGGGCGGCACCTGTCAAGTCGGTGCCGCCAGAAAGCGAGCGCGAAAGCAAATTAAACTGCCTCGACGGGCGCAAAAGAAGATCACCTTTGGCCAAAACTGGTGACCTGTTTTCAGCCGCCGGCTGCCTGATCAGGGCGTCCGGTGCGGATGGTACGACCTCGGTGCACCCGTTGGAGCCAACATGTTCTCTGGCTCGGCTTCCTCGACCACCACTGTTGAGGGCGGAGCCGCCTGAGAACCTGAGCCGGACGGCCCACGGAGCGTCTCGGCCAGCTCGGCGAACTGTGCCGGTGTCAGCTTCGCAGTGGATCGAGCGAAGGACCGATCCTGACGAGCCGTGTCCCGAGCGGCATCGATCATGTGCCCGCGGGCGCCCTCCTCATCGTTCTGGTCATAGTCCACGGCCTGCTGAGCAGCAGGCTGCGTTTCTCGAGTGAGGGCCCGCGACTCCATCTCTGCCCGGTTGCGATCGCGAAGAGCGACCTGCGAGGTCTCCTGAACGGCCGTGTCCGAGCTCGCGGCCGCTTGCTGCCATGCGCCTTGCGCGAGCGCAGGCGGCCCCACCGGCACCGGAGCTTGCACTTCTTGGGTGTGCGTCATCTCGGCGAGCGCCGCCCTGGAGACCACCATCGCCTCCATGACATGGAGCTTGCTCTCGCTCTGAACGTGGAAGTTGCCGTAGTCAAGGCCGCCCACGAACGAGACCAGCACCCCGACATGAGCAAAGTCGGAGGTAGCAGCATTGTGCCACCAGTGGTTGTGAGCAGCAGCCAACTGAGCGAACTGCTCAGTCTGCTCCGGCCCTTCCACTCGGGCACGCTGCTCCCTGCAGCGGGTGATCGCCTGGATGAGCGTAGGCCCACTGATGTGGGAGACCGTCAACCATGTAGCCGGGACTGAAGTGCGAGCGCACTTCAAGTCCATTCTGTTGTTCGCGTCTCGGTACCTGAACTCCACCCGATCGGCGTCATTCCCGACCGCATCCTCAGACGATCGGCTGCAGACTCGGAGCTCGAACCTCGAACGAGCATGATCTGCCGCCACCACAACACCCTGAGGACCAACAGAGTAAGTGCGACCGCCACACTCGAACGAGAAGACGGAGCACTTCCAGCCGACGAACGCCGCGATGACCACAGAGAGCCGTACACGACCTCGGCAAACATCCCTGATCAGCAGCTCGTCAGCGAACTGCTGTTGCACCGACAGATCTGATCGGCCCTGTACCCCCTCAGGATCCCATGAAAAAGGATCTCGTTGCCGTTGTAGACCTTGATGTCTGTATACGACGGCGAGGTATCACGGAGCACAGGCCAGGAGAAAGGCTGAAACGCCTCATGGGCGAGAGCCTTGGCGGTCTGAGCAGACCAATCTCCACAAGGGACCCCTGTGGAAGAGTCCACTGAGATCGCCAGTGTCGCCTTTATCCCATCCAACGTATAGTTGGCAAAGAGCGAGAGATGATACCCAGAACTGGGTGTCATGACCTGGTCGCGCTCGGTAAGAACCTTCGTCGAGCTGGACGAATTGGTCATGATCTCCCGCACCAACCACGCCTGAAAAGGCGACACGATCCGCTCATCGCTGGTGTCGACCATGATGATAGGTCTTCCGATCGTCATCCTCGCAGATCGCGACTGACTCCATATGCTGAGGAAGACGAACCTCGTAGGGGTTGTGAGCAGCAGGTGGGAAGTTCGCGCGATCGCGACGACCCCTTCGCTCACGACGATCATGCTGACCGCCCCAGTGACCACGAGGCTGGTTCGGATACCCAGCATAGGTCGGCTGATCAGCCTGCTGCTGACCTTGCCCCCAGGTGTCCTGCTGACCCCAACCGGCCATTGCTCGAGCTGAGTCCCAGGCCCCACCTTAGTGCTGACCGACACAAAAAGATCCTTCACGGATCCGAGACGATCGTCTCGACCCAAAATGGCCACGATAGACGTGGTTGATCAAACACTGAAAAGTGCATGCTGAGAACGTGCTGCAGTGTGACCCTCCTATACCAGACCAACCTCACCGATTATAGGAGAACGACGGAACTGTTGCGAGATAGCGACGAGGGCCCAGAGAAAGTCGAGATCGTGCCAGGCAGAGGCGCAAGCTGTCTTGTGAAACGGAAGAGCACGGGACTGGACTCGCATTTCCTGTCGCAGCATGCCCCCCCCCCGAGCCTCGCTGCTCATGTTGGAGGCCTGGACAGGTCAGAGACCGCCGACTGCAAAATTATTAAGCAACCACCGAAGTAGAAGACTTTGACATCGCTTGAATGGCTTGCTGGCGTAGCCAGGTGGGGGACAAGTTGACCCCGCATTTCGCGGCCTTTGCCTTCCAGAAAACAGAGCACAAGATGAGAACAGGCACACTACAAATGCCACCGAACTTAATGCCAGAATATCTGCTGACAAATCGGGATGGCTCAAACTTTTCAGCAAATGGATACCGCCAACCAACAGTGGAACAATCATGGCGAAAATCCTACGACGGTCCCACACCTCAGAGCCATACACCTCAACGCCTGATGCCCCAAAGCACTCGAAGCTGGTAAGCCTGCAAGAACCTTGCCTGCGCTTCAAAGCCTACCCCCAACTCACGCGAAACTGAGCGGCGGGACCGCACCACTTTTTGGACAGCGCAGACCTGATCTTTGGGTTTCTTCAACGTCCCGTCAATCTTGGGATACCCAGAAGCCCGACCTTAACACCTCAAACAAGGTATCTTCCCCGCCGGCCCTGCCGCCTTCCGGGGGCGCAAGCCGACACCTTCGGGGAGGCCACCCCGGGCCTGTGCAAAGTTTAGCGTTCGGGGTTCTGGTAGAGAACGAGAGCGAGAGAAAGACGTTCAAGGGCTGAACGCAAAATGCAAGCCGTTTATGAACAGATTCAAACGTAACCAAACCCAACACTGCCAGCCCCTCTATTTCTCTATCAGCCATCGATTTGCATACCGTGTCCGACTGAGAAATATACTGAAACTTGAAACTTGACCAACCGGCCACCCTGTGCCTCGGCATCAGAGAAGGCAAGGTGGCGATCGAGGAGAACCTCTACCTGCCCAACAGGTTGCACGACCATCACCTCAAGACCTACCCCCACCGCATAGTTAGGATGCGAGCTGCAAGGCTGTCGTTGGGCAGAGTGCAGCCGCAAAGCCATTGCAATCCAAACTCACGAAAGCTGCGCTTCAACGCAGCGTGACATGAAACGGTAGAACTGGCATCGTACGAATTACTTCGGGAGTCAAGCGGTATGATACGACGTCCTACAACTCTACCGCACCACGGTCGTAGAGAAGGAAATGCTCCAAAACCCCCGGGCAGCCCTGGCCGGGCTGGGCACGAGCCTCGCCCCAACGCGACGTCACATCATAGCCGATGGAAACCGATCGCACCGTCTCCCCTTGGTGAACACAGCTGAGCCCGCCTAATGCCAACCTGGTCATCAACATCTTCATCACCATGCTCGCGTCCGGGAACACGCAGCAATCGTGGAAACAAAACGCCATTCCCGAGATTTTGGATCAAGCAAAAACTCCCTTGGCTCTGCCTGAAGCAAGCAGCGAAAGGGCCCCATGGCCCCAGGCGCAAGATGCGCAAGCAACGAAACCGAAGATAGCCTGATGGGCCCGAAGCTCAAACTCTCCTGCCGAGCACGCTGCCGATTTGTCGGGAGATGCACTCTGCCTCACGGCACAAGGTGCACTCTGGTGGATGTGGCATCTGATAGTCCGGCCAAACATCGGACCGCTTTCCTAATAGAGCTTCTGCACTTCCGCGTCTTAATGGTTTCGCGAATCCGTGGAAAAGTGTGGAGAAGGGGCTTGGGATTTGGTCTCCGGATTATGGCTATGCCGAGAGCACGTATGGGACCTGCGCAGCCTGAAAGCCGAAGCGGCAAGGACAGCATCGCGAGCATGACTCTCGAAAAAAAATAACAACTTACCGCCCGAGAACCTGATGATGCCAAGTCCCAAACCCAACTAAAGCTTGTCTTCAGCCGAAGAAGGCCGGGCCAAGTTGCGATCTGCGTCTCGTCCGTGGCTTCGGGGGGCAGGCCGGACCTCGTCAAGAGAACTCTTCACCGGTTAGTTGGTCTGGGCCCTGGGCTTTTCGGCGCTAGGAGCGCGGCTCGGCTTCGCCCACTTGCTGGCTACTGTTCGCGGTGTACGGTAGACACATAGACTTCGTCACATCATAAACAACGCAGTGGACATGGGACAACACACGCATAGACATGCTCAGGCACAGAGAGACACAGAGAGCGAGACACACGCGCACCTGAACTAGAGCATGCAGGGGCATACGTGTTCACATGCACATATGCTCGTGTACAAGCCGTATGCAAACACCAACCAAACAAACCAAACAAACCAGACTAACGAACTCAAACACATACATGCATACGTGCATACGTGTATCTTTCTGTCCGTCACTGCAAGGACGTCCCTTGGTGTGAATTGCTGTCGTGGCAGGTGCCCAACCAGTCGGGTGTTTCTAGATGTTGCAGGTCCACGAAGAGGTGAGGAGCGATTGACTGACTCACTGCCCTGTGCATGTCAGTGCAATCTGTGCTCAAGCACACCCCTGTACTTTTTGCAACATGTCTAGTGTTCAGCTTTTTCAGGTCCACCCACCACACGTGTGTGCTCCTGGAGTGCACCTTGCTGCACTTCAGTCAAGGCGCAGAACCAGAGCGAAATCCTCCGAGCAAGGTTCTCTGAGGGTTTTGGATGCTCCGGCCGTTGGGATACAGTGTGGCTTCTGCCGTTCTTCTCTAACTAGTTGCAGTGTCGCCCTGCAAGAACATGTCAAGTCCTTCATCGTGAGGTGCTGTGACTCGAACCACCTGAAGGCACGGGACAGAATCTCATGAAGCACGGTCGATCTAGGAGTTCCGGATCAGTGATGTCCCAGTTGCTTGGCGTGCTTGAGCTGAAACCAGGCATGCGCCAGCATGATCAGCATGGCAGCGAACCTGACGCGGCCACCGGGGAAGCACAAAGCTCTCTTTTCCACGCTCACTCTCGTGCTCGTTTTTATCCGCACAAAAAAACTTGCACCCTTCAAAAGAGCACAGAAGTGTAAAATGAAGCTACTCAAAGTGTGAAGAACGGTAGACTTGCTCCCTAAGTCTCCTTTCTGTAGCATTATTGTGCTATCAGCTGCAGTTCATCGTTGAAGAGCGATGCCAATGTACAACTAACCTGAGCAACTCTGTCGGAGCTGCACAAGTCCAACCGATCCAAGCAGCCAAAGGAACAGCACACTCCTGGATTCCGCATCTCAGACATGTTCAGGCTTCAGGCTTCTTCGGAGACAGAACCTCCCCGCACAAGTTGGGATGTGACATTGTCTTTCGCTTGCGTGAGCTCTGGGCTCCGCAATAGAAGGAATGTCTGGACATTTCGCTTGGGATGAAGATGTGTTGTCAAGAGTCTGAAACAACATGTCTGAGCAGCGTAAGCACAAATGTGCTCCAGCAGGAATGACTCTGTGGCAGTCAGAAGTACTGAGATTGCTGCACTCGATGCGTCACAGCGCCTCCATTACACATGCTAATGGCTCACTTGTAGAAACTCCCGAACTCGCGAAAGTCAAACCCTCAAACTATTGAGAGACCGAAGCTGCAATCGCCTGCATCTCCCCGTTGATCGTCTACTCATGATCAACGAGAAGTAAATTTCAAGCGAATAGCAAACGAATCCCCAGCTTGTGCCAGGCATCGTTGACAGCCGTCGCATGAAGCCCTCAGGGTCAGATTCGTTCCAAGCTCTATTTCGTGCATAAGACCTAATGGGCCCCCGCACGAGGAAGCACCGCTGTTGCCTTCATAGAAATCGCAGAGGCGAAGCGCGCAAATTCAGTCACAAATGCCCCAAGCCTTCAAATGCGAATCTACACCCTTCGCAAACGTGCTGGCAGCAAGCCTGTGCAGTGGTATCCACGTTGAAGCGTGTGAGACCATGGTCCTCAGATCCCAAAACCCGAAAGCCGCAAGCCGCCTCGCCCGGAACCCGGAAGCTCAAACCTCAAATCGCGCTGCAACTTTCTGAGCGTCCATACAATCAACCAACCGAGCCACAACCCCAAGACCCCCTCACGCCAACATCCCAAATCCCAAAAGGTGCACTACCATCATCCAGGACGCATCCATAGCCCAGCTACATATCGACGCATCCGACGTGCCTGAAGCAGCTCACGGACTTGTGGTTGCATGGCGAAGCTCTGAGCTTCAGTCCAGGAGGCTGCGTCGTGCTCTCGTGGTTTTCGCGGTTTCGTACACAAGTTGCACTTCCACAACATCAAACAGCATCTGAACAGCATTCAAACCTGACCTGCAGCGTTGGGAACTGTCCAGAAAACGGCTTGATGCAGCCCATTCGCCTGAAAAGAAGAGCATCCCAAAACACGGCCTTTGGCTTCCTGGCCTAACTGGCCCAGAACCCCCTTCCCACGGCCTTCGGCCGATGGATACAGCGGCACGCCGTGGAACTGCCAGAATTGCTGCAAGCGGTCAGGCATGCTTTGGCTCCAGAGCACTTCAGAGACCCGCAGCCGTAATGGTCCGTTCAAGCCTCTCCCGAAAGCACAAACAGGTCGGCCTGCAGCGGACTTGAGGACACCCCAGAATAATTGAAGAGACCTCAGGAAGTCACAATGATGGAGCCTTGAGGGGAGGCCTGCTTCTGAGTTCTGCTCCAACGGGCGTTACGAGACAGAGAGAAGGGGACGAAGTCCGCGTGCTGGCTCTACTACTGATTTTCGCAAGGTCTTGTCCCCTAACATTTCCATTTCGAACACTCTCAAGTCCAGCAATTTCCCAAACCCTTCCAAGGAGCAACACGCCCGAAACTCGGGTGCCATCCCAGCAGCTTTGCGAATCGCTATCCAAAGCAAAATGGGCACCCAGGAACAGAAGAACCTGTGCTTTCGCCACAAGGGCCGCGGGGTTCAGGTTGCATATCAGGTTTACAAGAGGTTCAGGCAAGACGGGATGTAAACTCGGTGCATGTGTTTGAGATTGAAGTTGGCGGACAGGCGGCCACGGCTGAAGCTGCCAAGTGCATGAACAAGTGCTTGCAAATTCTAGGGGCTGGGGCTGGGGCTGGGGATGGGGCTGAGGTTCCCAAAGTATCAGCAGCTTCCTTGCGGCAAGTCGCCGAGAGGATGAGAAGAAAGACCAAGGAGTTGTAGTAAAGAGGTAAGCCGACGCCAATCACAAACCTCACGCCACAGCGACATGACGGTGATGCACAGTCGCAAAGGTCACATAGAAGCTGGACATACCATCCAGCTACAGCCTGGAGCCCATGCGATGCTCGCCCGACTCCGACAGCTGCTGTCCCTAGCGGCTTTCGGGTTTCCAAAGAGCCAAGGTGCTTTGTGTGCAGGTTCTCGCAGATGCCTCGCACACTGCTCGGAGAGCGGACATCGAAAGCTGGATGGAGAACTTCTCAATTCTCACATACGAGGGCAGACCATCCCAGGTAGCATCCAGTGCGTGGGAAGGTCTTGCCTATACTACGAATGGTCATCGGGCAACATGACTGCTACAATGGTGGCTTTCTGCGAACAACAGGCCAACTAGCCTAACCCACACCAACATCCAGAAGTGATCGCAGAAGCAGCAGACAAAATCAATCCACCAAATACCAGACAGCCTACACGACCACGTGTCGTCGCGAACACACACCTGAAATCTAAATCTGCCTTACGATACAGGATCAGGCCATTTCACACAAAATGCGGCACCATGTGAAGGTGCACACGATCACCCAACTTCACGCACCTCACGCGAAATCATACCACATGGACACAAAGCCTCCAGAAAGTTACATCTACATCTTCCAGGCAGGCTCGCACTAGTACCACATCCTCAGACACGTCCAAGCATCATCGAAGGTCAGCCTACTCCAAGCGTACCATCAAAGTAATGTCACATACCAGTATGATGTGTCGCGGCATATCAAACAAAACATACATCCTATAGTGTCTACACCTTTTCTACTGCAACTCATCCTAGAAAAGCTCTGCTGCCGAGCCGAAATCATGATCCCCCGAAGAAGCAGAAGAGAAGAGGATTTTGCTTGTTTCCATTCTTGCTGGTGCCCAAAATCCCTCTTATATATGTGCCACGTGGACACTCTTTCAACTGTGAGTTCATCGCTTGTGACTTTCCGCGCGAGCTGCAATAATTTCAATCCTAAACTCCATTCACCTGCCCAAACACATGTGCATGTGTTTACGGCCAAGCCACTGAAGAGCGGGGCACCGGCATGGACTTTGGGATTCTTCCGCACCTTCAGATGCGCTCTGATACAGTATGGATGTACATGCGTTCGCCAATCGCATTTGCATCTATGCGTCCTGTGTATGTGCCTGCATATACACATACATACATACATACATACATACATACATACATACATACATACATACACACATACATACATACATACATACATACATACATACATACATCGCTTTTTCGCTTTTCGTGGCGATGTGTCCGTGTCGGACGCAGCCCTTTGCATGCGTTTAATTACAAAAAGTGAAACAATCTGCTGCCTGTTCAAAGGCGAAGTTCGCAATAACAGTCGCACCCCGTACAGAATTAGCACAGGGCGCCGCCTTGCGGAGAACTTCAACTGTCGGACATGAGACAGGTGGTACGATAAGACAGGCAGGAACACGATGCGTCCAGAGGAAGAAGGCCCCGCGGATGAAATCTGAGAAGAGACGAAGCTGTGCCACGGGTGTGGCGATGGACCGGAAAGAGCGGAGAGGTAAGGGAAGGTCGCACGTGTCAACCAATCCTTCACATGAGAGAAGGATGAACTCCTCAGCAGCTAAGTCACGACACATCTCAGAAAAAGCGAGTACCTCTGGGCATCTTTGGGCATGTTCATGGAGAACAGTGCTGCGGAAAGGGAACAAAATCCACGGTTCCCGGGCTGGTGCACGTGAGTACCTAATGCCAGGCCGAGTAGGGGCTTCGATCTGAGCAATCATGCCATTGGGAAGCTCTAGCCATGGAGTCAAGGCATCGGCATCCCGGAAAGTGGCAAGAGAGTGTCCTGGGGAAACGCACTCTGCAAAGAACCATTCGGCATAGTCGGTATCACAAACCTGTTTGGCAATGTATTGGTGCCAGCCAGCCCACTGAACAGAGACTTGCTCGTCCCCCTCAAGGGCCTCTTGGAGCTGACTGCTCCATTGCCTAGCAGTGGCTCTGAGCCTTGAAGCCTGCAAGCATTGCGACCTAAAGGCCTGCTTGTACCTATCAACGAGCTCCTGGTATTCCTGGACAAGATTCGCATCGTGACAATACATGTCCTCGAGGAGTCCAAGGACAAACTCACAGGGCGTGTCGGCTTCTTCAACTACAGGGGTAAAATCCCAGCAGACGCTGGGTCCCTGTGCTTGTGTCGCAGGGAGCTGGCTATGTCGGCCATCGTCGTATTTTCGGCTCCCAACACCTGGCGCAGGCTCCTCCTCGATCCCGGCGTTCGTGAGAGCATGCCTACACGGCAGGCTATGTGCGAGATGGTTGCACAAATCTCGGTTGGATCTGTACTGCTTTAGGCAGACAGGGCATTGTGTACCCTGTGCGAGTCTGCGTGTGGGCTTGACTCTCCCATGGCATTTGAAGGCATGGTGCGACCACGAGCACAGGTTGTCAAAAACAATACCACATACCCCACACACCTCTCTGGGGTTAGTAGCATCGACAAGGTCATTGGGAACTACAGCACCTGCTTGGAGGTAGGATCGGAAAGCCAGCCCCCTATACTGCTGTAGTTCGGCAGCCCATAATTCGGCAAGAAGTGCGGTCTGTTTGGCTTTGTTGACAGCTCTCTTCCAGCCATTAGGGCATGCCCTAATATAGGTGATGACTCCCTCCCAGGTATGCCAATCCTTTTTGCAGGTTGCGGCTCGTTGATGTTGGTCCTGAAACCATTGCAGGGAGTCAACTACAAGGCGTATCCATGTCTGCTCATATTGGAGAATAGCCCAGAGCTCAGCCGTGGCCTTAATAACAGTAGCCTTGAGGTGCCGCAATCTTTCCACATGCAAGGCAACTGCTGCGCTGGGAATTCTGGCGACAGCAAGCACATAGGGTTGGCTGAGGTGGCAGGCTTGTTCAAAGGTGAACTTAGGGCGCAACATATAGCGTGCCATCTGTACTAGGCAGCTCTGAAGTTTGGCAAGTTCCTTTCTCCCAGCACCGGACCAGGTCCCACCTCCATAGTAGAGGACGGACTCTACAAGCGACGTGAAAAGAACTGCCTTTTCATGCTGAGTGACTGATGGCGAGCTAAAGACAAGCTTCTTGTGCTTGTTGAATGCCTGCCATGCCGCACCTATACGGGTTTTAAGCTCACGCTTAAGACACCCCTCGGCCTGTATAACCCCACCAAGGTGCTTATATGAGGAAACCAGGCTTAATCTAGCACCTTGCCAAAGCTCTGAGTCCAGCTGCAGGGACGGTTGCGCCCCTGCAAATATTTCTCGAGCGACTTTTTGCGCGCCGGGGCCAACAAGACTAACCACTGCTTCAGTCTTGCCCTTTCTCAAATTGGGCAAAAGTACTGCTTTTAAGCATTCATCGAGTGTTTTGGAAGCAGCAAGGCGAAGCCTCTCGACAAGCTGTAAAGGGGTAGGTGCTTGCAGGAGGATAGAGAGGTCATCCATCCATGTCACATCCAGAGGGTGGCAGACAGAGGCAGGAGCAAGTGAGGTATCTGAACTGCACATCCATTGTGGATGCCAGGGCAGGTCAATTAGGATGCCAGCTTCTCGGAATTGACTCCGAACCCTGTTGGATATCTCAGCGAAAAGAAATGTGAAGACTAGGTCTGCCAAGTTGTCGCCTGGGCGTGTTCCTCCACGGACGTATGCAAAACCTCCGGTTGAACCGAAGGTGAACCACGCGTCTTCGCCTACTTCTTGCATAAGCCCGGCTGTCCATTGGGACGCGCCAGCATCCTGGATCAATGACCTTTGACGAACGTAGGTGTGCAGACGTGGGATGACATCCGGGCCAAGTCCAAGTTCTTTGACAAGCCCTGCGACGTGATGGTCATTTAGAGGCCCTCCGTGGATGAGGGGTCTCACGACCCTATGGAAGGCCTCACGTAGGTCAACAAAGAGTACGGCACACGAAGTTTTGTGCTGGAGACTGGCTCTTTGGAAGGCACGAACTGCATGCGTGGCAACCTGTACTGGCTGGCCTTTGCGACCGCCGATTTGCAAAGGCGAGCAAGCAACATCAAGGAAGGGCGAGCATTTGTTGCGCATTGTGGCATGGACAGCCTTGCCGACCGAGCTACTAACGAGAATGGCTCTGTAACTCTCGCAATCAACCTGGCTACCTTTTCCTTTCCAGATTGCATGTAGAGTACCTCCCTTCCATGCGATGGGTTCTTGCAGTCTAAACGCTGCCTTCAGGAAAACCCGGAACACTGACTTCGACAGCGCTGATGCGCGAAGGTGAAGAAGGTCAGCCGGGACGCCATCATTGCCGATCGCTTTTCCACACTGGGACGCACGCAGGCTATGTTCGATGTCAAGAAGTGTAGGCAGGTCGTCCCAACTTAGCTGCAGGTGATCCAAGTCGTGTGCCTTTTGCCTGTCAAGGCATGCTTGAATGTGGTGATTGACACACACTGGTGCTCCATCTTCAATGGAACTGAAGTGCCGAATCCAGCGCTGGTCTGCCTGACCAACATCCTGTGCAATAGAGCCATCCTCCAACTTGATCAATGGAAGTGCAACTACCCCCTTTGTCCGGCTACGTGATGGGCCAAGGAGAGGTCGAAGCTTCTGCACGATGTCCTTTGTAGTGGACTGCGTCGCTGAACGGGCGATGCTGGCAATATAGTTGCGCTTATCGGCACGGATACTCCTTTTGAGATCGGGCTGGAGTCTGCGCAAGTCATGGACGCTTCTCCTCAAGACTGCGAAGGAGCACAAAGCACGAGTGATCCCGCTAAACCAATGGGCAACTAGAGGATGACCCTTCAACCAAGCCCCAAAAGAGGCCCTTACGTCGGCATTGGTACATCCTCGGCTGGACCAGCTGATTTGTTTTCTTAGGTGGACTCGTTGCTGCCTCAGGTCCCAAGTTGTTTGGGTGAAATACGACCTGTGCTGAGGTCTCCGTTTGAGAGGGAAGGTCGTAACCAAGGACTCACTGAGGTGCCCAGCAATGGCAGCATAGTGAGTGTGTGCGTCGACTGTCCAAGGGATCTCAGGGACACTGGAGCAAATCGCGTCGAGCTGATCTGACGCCTTTGGATCCTGCAACCTAGTAATGTCAGCTCGAGGGGGCTTCTTGGACTGTCGGACACGCAGGCGCATCCATGTGTGTACATCCAAGGTCACTCCAAAGTGGTCAACGCCTTTCTGTCCAAAGTCGATATCATACATGACGCGAGAACCATGGTGGGCAGCCTGCCAGCTGGACGGCAATGTTATGAAATCTATTCGCGATGTAGCACCATGGCCGGGGGACGCCCACGTAAAAGAGTCCCCTTGGTGAATATCTGCGAAAGTGGAGGGAACCCAGTTATCTAAACCATCAAGCAAATTAAGCAGGATGGGAGGGGGTGGCGGACCACCCTCCCACACAAGATCCCCAATACGTCCATTAGCAGATTGCTGGAGTCTGGCATTGAAGTCTCCAAACAAGGCAGTAGGATCACCTTTGGCAGCTGCAAGCAGTCGGTCATGAAACTGCTTCCACCAGGTGTTTCGAGATGGATCGGTTGCCGTGGGGGCATGTATCACAGCAAGCACAAAGCGCAAGGGTCCTCGGGCATACCTTGCAATAAGAGATCGAGGACACGCATGGATGATCCGGATGTCCTCTGAACTGAAACACCAAGGCGTCTTGTTCTGCCACGCGAACGGTACAGTTCTAGACAACCAAAGTTCAACACCATGATGGCCGCTGCTGTCCTGTTGTGACAGGTAGCGGAGGTGAGTGGCAGAAACAATGGTTTCTGAACGCTTCGCCCGGGTTTCCTGTAACCCGACAATGCAGACCCCAAGTCCCTCAAGCTGTTCTCGAATGAAAGGGACACGTCCAACCAGGCCGTTATCAGCATCCTCCTCAAGGGTTTGTACGTTGACGGTGACTATCCGTGGGGCAAACAAAACATCAACCCAGTGCAAACTTGGGTCAGTCTCGGAAGCCGGATGACTCGCGACCCCTCTATGAAGTTTAGAGACATCTGGTATAACGTCGGAGCCGGGGTCGGTCATCACCGTTCCTTGCAAGGTAGGCCAGCTATCT